ATAGCGACCAGTGACGTCACTGGTTACCAGGAGCTGGGCGGGCCGCTCTAGCCGGCATCCCGCCAAGCACCCGGTAACCAGTGACGTCAAGATGCTGGCGCCGCCCCCTCGGCACTTAGTGTCTACCAATAGCAACCCCCCGTAATGTGCATCATTAGCACATCGCCCTCCACCGCGGTAGTGGGCGCCGGCGGCAGCCCGCCCCATTCCCCGTCACTGTCACCAAGCTTGGCCTACAGCAATTTATCCGCTATCTCCAGTGCAGGAAGTGAGGGAAAATCTCCCCAGCGGGGACACGGCAAACAAAACCCAACAAAGGAAGCAACTCTTCACCTCTCTGGCCAAACCTAATATCATTCCTCTGTAGAAAGATCTAGACTTCTCACACCTCATCCAGAACCTCCCAAGGCAGGGGTGGGCAACTCCGGTCCTCCAGCTGTGCTTTAACTACACATCCCATAATCCCTCTGCCTCTGGAAGTTATGCCTGTGGCTGTCAGAGCCTTGCAGTGCCTCGTGGGACTTCTAGTTCCACAAACGTTGGAGGGTCAGAGTTGCCAACCCCTGTCCTCAGGTGATTTGGGAAAATGCCATTAAGGTTAATTGATTGCCGTGGGCACCACAGACGGTTCTTCACAGACTGCCAGTCACCAAGCCGCGGATCACTTCCTGTTTGAGTAACTTTGGGGTCTGTGTCTTTAGCACAGTTTTGTTTTGTTTTGGCCTGGCTGTCACTGGACACAGGACACGCAGGGCTGCGTGTGTTGCGCTGACTCGCCGGTACGTGGCGGCACTGCGCCGCACACACTGCACTTGTCACTCCGACATTCCTGCTGATACTTGAGCGCTTTCCGCCAATCCGCTTACACTGGATTTTTTTTTTTTTGTCGGTTTTACATTTTTTACAAAAAATGGATGTTTCTGACATGTTTTTCCCGTGTTGCACTTTATGTTTTATTCTGTTTGTAATTTATTTTCAACAATAAGGTGCAAAAATACAAACTGAAGTTTAAAGGAGAAGTGTCCGGCTGTGTTTTTTTATGCCAATATGAATGTAGTGATGCGGGTACATGGGAGATCGGCGGAGGGAGTGACACACGTGACCACAACGTAGTGTTTGTTGCAGGCCCTGGGGGAAGGGGAGGGGCTTGGGCTACATAGGTAGCTTGTTATTTCTAGAGATCATTTATACCACACCATGTCCATTAGGTCGATCGCAAAGCTAACACTGGTAGACTGCGATCACAAGTTGGCTCGCTGTCCCGAGCTCCCTCCCGCTGTGCTAGTGCGGCTGAATGTGGCGGACTCTGTCCCGCTCCTCCCCGTCTGCAGCGCCTGACACATTCGGCCGCACTAGTACCGCAGGAGGATAGGACAAGATACCCTCACCTAAGACACACGGTATTCAGTCACTGTGGAGGTATGAGGGCAATAGACAGCCAGGAGGATGAGCGAGGAGAGACAGCCAAGAGGATGAGCGAGGAGAGACAGCCAGGAGGATGAGCGAGGAGAGAGCCAAGAGGATGAGTGAGGAGAGACAGCCAAGAGGATGAGCGAGGAGAGACAGCCAGGGGGATGGGCGAGGAGAGACAGCCAGGGGGATGGGCGAGGAGAGAGAGTGAGGAGACACAGCCAGGGGAGAGAGCCAGGAGAGACAGCCAAGAGAGACAGTTAGGGGAGAGAATGATGAGAGAGAGGAGAGACAGCCAGGAGGATGAGCGAGGAGAGACAGCCAGGAGGATGAGCGAGGAGAGACAGCCAGGAGGATGAGCGAGGAGAGACAGCCAGGAGGATGAGCGAGGAGAGACAGCCAAGGGAGAGAGAGGAGAGACAGCCAGGGGAGAGTGAGGAAGGTGTTTTGTTCCGTGGGTAGATCTCCTTGATCTGGTCATTTGAAAAGTAGATCTTAACACAACAATTGGTGGGCACCCCCGATTTCTACCAATATGAATGTTGTGACGCGGGTACATGGGAGATAGCTGGAGGGAGTGAGAGACTGGTTGTTGCAGGCCCTGGGGGAAGGGGAGGAGCTTAGGCTACATGGGTAGAATATGTTGTCAGCATATTTTTCATAGTTTAGTGTAGCTCACAAATGAATGTGTTTCTCTGGAAGGCGTGCTGGCCACATGCAGTATTCTACCTGCTCTCTATGATCCCATTCATTCGCTGCTACAACACCCTACTGTGACATTTTGAATCCAGGGTGCGGTTGGTTCGGCTCTAACACATCGGGTAAGTGAGGGTAAGTGCTTACATCATAGGCTGGTATGGTAGTTGTATAACATTTCATTGCCACGGGTTTGTTTCAACTGCTATTCTACCCGTGTACATTCATGAACGGTTGCTTGGTGTACCTAATTCTCCAAACTTGTACAGATGTTTCAACCCAATATCCTTTTATAGGGGAGGGGTGTAGTACTGGGGTGAACACGGGGTGACACTGCAACAGTTGGAATGTTTTGTTAGACTATATGGCCAAAAACTTGTGGACATCTGACCATCACACCTCCTATATGGCCAAATGTATGAAGACACCTGACCACCACACCTACTATATGACCAAATGTATGAGGACACCTGACCACCACACCTACTATATGACCAAATGTATGTGTACACCTGACCATCACACCTACTATGTGACCAAATATATGAGGACACCTGACCACCATACCTACTATATGACCAAATGTATGAGGACACCTGACCACCACACCTACTATATGACCAAATGTATGAGGACACCTGACCACCACACCTACTATATGACCAAATGTATGAGGACATCTGACCACCACACCTACTATATGACCAAATGTATGAGGACATCTGACCATCACACCTCCTATATGACCAAATGTATGAGGACATCTGACCATCACATCTACTATATGACCAAATGTATGTGTACACCTGACCATCACACCTACTATATGACCAAATGTATGAGGACATCTGACCATCACACCTACTATATAACCAAATGTATGAGGACACCTGACCACCACACCTACTATATGACCAAATGTATGAGGACACCTGACCATCACACCTACTATATGACCAAATGTATGAGGACATCTGACCATCACACCTCCTATATGACCAAATGTATGAGGACATCTGACCATCACATCTACTATATGACCAAATGTATGTGTACACCTGACCATCACACCTACTATATGACCAAATGTATGAGGACATCTGACCATCACACCTACTATATAAACAAATGTATGAGGACACCTGACCACCACACCTACTATATGACCAAATGTATGAGGACACCTGACCATCACACCTACTATATGACCAAATGTATGAGGACATCTGACCACCACACCTACTATATGACCAAATGTATGAGGAAGGGAACATGGAGCCGGCTTCTCGGCCAATCAGATAGCCGGGCGGCAGGTAATGACTCGTACCCCGGCTTCCTGATTGGCCGGTAAGCCCGGCTCCATGCTGATTGCTGAAGCCAGCTTCCTGGCCAATCAGCATTGGGCCGGCCAAACAGCATGGAACCAGCTTCCTGAGCAATCAAGAAGCTGGGCGGCTGGTAATGACACGCTGAGTGCCTGGGAAGCCGGCTCCATGCTATCGGAAGTACTGGTATCGGTAGTCGGTGAGTACTCGTACTGGATACCAATAAACCAGTATTAGTGCATCCCTAATGTGTATGATCTCTGGAATAAGTAAATATTGTCCTCCTAAAGAGTCCTGTGTGTTCTTCCTTGTATCTTGGTGAGCTTTGTATATTTCTTCCAGATCTGTGCAGTAATCCCGTGTCAGACTTGGAGCTTCCGGTAATAAAGACCGGTCACTGCTGCACTCTCACTACTTGTGCAGGGTGACTGGTCTTGTCTCCGCCCCCTACTGTAATAAAGACTGCTCACTGCTGCTCTCTCTCCTTGTACAGGGTGACTGGTCGTGTCTCCGCCCCCTCCGGTAATAAAGACCGGTCACTGCTGCTCTCTTTCCTTGTGCAGGGTGACTGGTCTTGCGCCCTCTTGTAGTTCAATGTAGTGGCCTGCTGGGTCCCTCCCACAGCTTTGTTCTTTGCACAGTGATGATGTCACTGATACGTTTATAAAGCGATATCTGGCTTTGCAATGACATTTGGTGCACACAAAGTGGGATGATCTGTTTTGTGGCTCTCGGAGAATATATGTAAATTAGTTTTTGCTCCCGGAGTTCAGCTTTACGTTACCATGAAATCTATACACAAACACTGAGATTTATTCATCTTCCCCCAGAACAGAAACACATCAAACTCATTCAAACATTCTTTTATATTTATGAGAAATCGCAGCGACCAATTTTACAAACAGCCGAAATATCTTCGTTGTTAAATAAAGCGATTCTCCCTTCCTGGCGGCTGGCACATGTTTCCCAGCTGTATACAGGTCACGTTGTGCCCCCAGAGCCGCTCACTGTGTGAGGAACAAAGTCAAAGCTTTCTCTACTTGGCTCCAGGTTACAGCTCTCCTCTTTACTATTAGATCAGGGGGAGGAAAGCTTGGCACATCAGCTGTGGTGAAACTTCAAATCCCATCATGCCTACAGGAGTCATGCCTGTGACTGGCAGAATCTGGTGTCCCATGGAACCTGTATTTCCACAACAGCTGGAGTGCTGAGGCTTCCTACCCCT